AAAAATGACAAAAAAATTATTCAATTAGTAAATTAAGTAATTAATTCAATTAAAGCGACAAAGATATTTTCCATTTTTCGGTTCGGAATAAAATCTAATAATTTTCTATAGAAATCCAAGACAGGTGATTTTTGTGGTATATATTATTTTCAAATGAATGTTTCTGTTGAAAAAAATTATATTTTTATTGTTTACAAAAAATAAATATTTTTTACATTATACAAAAAAATAAAATGTATTAATATTGTAGTATGGGCGGGCCCTAGCTATACTGTATTAGAGACCCAACGTATTAATCATGGCGCATTGTCGTTAAGCAAAAGACCATTTTCTCCTTTATTCTTGAAAAAAAAAGGGTAAATTAAGGGCATCCCTAAAATAAGATTAAATTAAAAAAAAAATCTTTATGTTTGATAATTACGACAAACTCGTACAATTATAATTTTTTACATTTTTATCTTTATGATGTCAAATCCAATAACATCTGCTGCATTCCGTGCAATGTTCTCTAGTTTGTACTCGTATTGTATTGTTCAAAAATGCAGTTTATGATGCACCACAATCTGATATGTACAAGCTAAAAAACACGTCCTATAATCATCTTATTTCAGAATGTGGAGCTCGAGTAGAGTAAATCGGGTATAAACTGGAGAATATTTCACAAAATTTAACACTGCAAGGATGGACATGAAAAAAGATCTATAGTCGATGGGGGTGATTTTAATTACCCAAACATAAGGAGTACTTTTGTAATTTAACCTTACTTTAGGGGTAGCTGTTCTAAAATTATAAAATAATTATAAATATATTGTAAAATTGCTTTATTGTTTCAGATTCGGACAAAGTAGTACTACATAACGAACAAACTGCCCGAACCTCTGGCAAGAAGAATCCGTTCACTTCACGCTGAATGCGTGTGGGGGGGACCCAATTGGTGTTTGTTTAATTCCTAAGGGTAATTTTGTCTTTATACGTTTTCTAACACAAAGATTCTCTTTTATAGTTTTTTTTACTACACAGATTTTTCGCTGTATTATTTATTTCCTGTTTTTCTGTTTTTGTTTTTTTTACTACGTTCGAAGCTTTTCTGGGCTTTGTTTAGTTGGGAATTGCTGACTCACTCAGTCTGCCGACAAATACTTGTTTTACTAATTAGGGGCTAAAATACGCGGGTTATGTGGAAGGTGGTCGCCGTCGATGCGTTGCGACACGTGTCCCGTGAGCTACTGTGCGCTGGAGGTGACGCGATATGTGGGTCCCGCATATTGAATGCGGAGAAGCAGCGTTTGCTTCACTGAAATGTGTGGTTTGTGGGTCCCGAGGTGTTTACCTGTTTCAAGGAAGGAATTAAAGCTTTAACCAAACAGAGCCTAATTGGTTTTATTCTTAATCCAATTTAGGGTTTAATTAATTAATGGTGTGTGAAGAATGCCTACTTAATTGGGAAATAAGAAATTGAATGGGAAAAAATAGAATTAGAATAAAAAAAATTGATTTTTTTTTTCGGATAGGAATTCGCCAAAATTGGATACTCCGGTTTTCTATTTAACCATAATATAAAAAAATACATGATAATAATATTGATATTATAAGTATAAATTTTTTATATACTCAAATTAAAAATCAGAATCTTGTATATATTTCGAATTTCGATGATGCTATTTTTTCATTCTCTCTCCAAGAGATAATAGTAGTAAAAACAGAAAAAACTGTAATATGTAAATAATTCAGTGAAATTTTTAAAATAAAAAGTAGTTAAAACTAAAAGAAAAATATGTGTCCAAAACTACAAAAATATTGATCTCATTTGTAAAATGAGATTTGTGAATAGATACTGTGTGGGGGCTCCACTAATTGGCAATGTAATTAATTAAAAGAGGCTCCACTAATTAATCTTTGGCTAATTGGTCTCACTCCAACCGGACCATTATTTACCCTCACTAATTAATCTTTCGTACTGCCGTATTTATTATGTACCTGCTGCCAAATAATAATAATAAATCAATTATTAATCTTTCAATTTCGATTTTAAAAAAATATATTTAAAATTAAAATAAAAAATATATAGTTGCCTAGGCTAGGGTGAAATAGGCAATGAAAAGGATCAAATAAACAGTGGTAAACATGGTAAAAAGTTTAGCAAGAGTTGACCCTAAATAAAGATAAAAAAAAAAAAAAAAATACCTAGGATATCGAAATAGATTATTCCACGTGGACTGGTTGACAGTATTTACTGTTCCACGTCTTAGGTAGGCTATGTATCTACTACTGTCTACAAGCTTCTCGGACTCTCTTATTTTATTTATTTATTTATTATTTTATCAGATATACCATTTTATTAATAAAAGTTGTAAGAATTCCATTGTTGTATCACTATCAAGTTAATTTATAATTTAAAAAATGGTTTTCTAACATTATTTTTTTATAATTCAAGAAAAGGGGAAAAAGAAAAAAAAGAAAGAAACCGTAAGCCATTGATTATCATTTTCCCCCTAAATTTGCAGACGTGGCTGCTGACATGTCATAAACCCTGATGGACGCTTCCACGTATTAATTTATTTCCATATCAGCGCCACATAGGATGAGGATGCATGTCTGCACCCACTCCCAAGTCAAATTAAATTTTAGGATAAATTACGGGCACCCTGAGCTATGGTCAAATTACGAAAACCCCCTCCTATTTGGTTAATTACAGTTATCCTTCAACTATGTATTATTTTACGAATAAACTCCTACAGAGGTAAATTTTGGGGCTCGTTCGACCCTACACCCAATGATAACCATCAGGTAGGTCTTCTGCTGTCACGTGTCCTTTTTTTTTTTTTTTTTTCTAAAATCCCTAAAGGTAAACCCTAGCAGTGAATATATTTTAAATACAAAAAAGAGACACGTGGCAGCAGAAGACTCACCCCGTGTTTATCACCGGCTGTAGGTAGGGGTGTAAACGAGCCGAGCCGACTCGTGAGCTCCAAGAGCCGGCTCGTAAAAAGCTCGAACTCGGACTCGAGATTTTCGAGCTCGAGCTTTCTGACGAGCCGAGCTCGAGCCGGTTTTCAGTTGTTCATGAGCTCGCGAGCCGGATTTATTATTATTTTTTTTTATATGTTATTTTTATTTAAATAATGTATAATAATGTAAAATATTATAGAAATAAATACAAATATTAAAAATATATATAATTACAATTTAGTTTTTATTTTTTATTTTTTTAAATAATTTTTAATAATAAAATAATAATTAAAAAAATATTTAAAAAAAAAAAAGACAATGGGCTCGAGCTCGAGCTCGAGCTCGACAAAATTGACACGAGCTCGAGCTCGAGCCAAAAAAAGAGGAGCTCGACGAGCTCGAGCTCGACAAAATAAACTCGAGCTCGAGCTCAAGCCAGCCAAAAGAGGCGAGCTCGGCTCGTTTACACCCCTAGCTGTAGGGTCGAACAAATCAAATTTTGGGATGTTAATTCAGTAAAACCGAACCGAAATTTTAGTACGCCAACATTTCATACCGTTTACCGCACTAAATATACGATTTGGTTCGGTGAATAACCGAATTACATAAATTTTATGTAAAAATATTTAAAAGTAGTGGGTGACTGTAGTTACAAAAAAATATAGATTTTTTTTTAATTTAACAATACACCTGGATGACCGTAATTTGTCCAAAAGTTTAACATATCAATTTTTTTACTAGACACTGTACACTTTGCATAAAAGAAAATGGAAAATTTAATTTTTATTTTGAATTGATGACCACAGAAAATAAGAGAATCTAATGAAAAATTGAAAATTGATGGAAGTCATAGACACAGTTGCTATATATAGGCCATCACCCCCAAAATGCAATTTAATTGCCCATCAATAATTATTGTCACAAAATTAAATTTGGTGGTCCAATTCCAATCTATGGATCTCTTCCCCGTAAATTACATTCCGCTACAGCGTATCTAATCCTTGCCCAATCATATTATTACCCAATTTGGAATACTCTCATTTTCCTTTTTATTTTTATTTTTATTTTTATTTTTACATTGTAATTTACATATATATATATATATATATATATATATATATATATATATATATATATATATATATATATATATATATTATAAACATCAATTATTCTAATTATTTTTCTTTTCCCAAAGAAGTCACAATTATTTTATTACCACACGGATTGGAAGTAACATAGGATGCCTCAGGAGAAACAGTACTATAACGTATCTACCCTCGGAATTCTAACCTTTTATTTTTCAAAAAAAAAAAAAAACTATATAATTAAGAGAGAACTATATAATGTGATCTTGATTATTAAGTACATTCTTATTATTTAAAAAAAAAACATATTTAAACGGTCATTTTGACTGTTGAAAATTAAAAATAGAATCTATTTATCTAATTTATATAATCCAATAAAAATGGAAAAAAATTGAAAGTGAAAAAGGTCAGATAATGACTGGGGCGCCCTTTTCACATATGGAAAAAAAAAAAAAAAAATCTGAAAAACTCGGAAAAAGGAATCAGATACAGCGGCAGCACATGCTAACCAAAAGTGAAGACGCAGACGCAGACGCAGACGCGCCACGCCCAAATTATGAGCTGGAACCCGGGGGTGGGCCCCCACACCCACCCAAAATCTAAAATACAGCTCATTATTTTCCATTCTGCCACCCCCACTTGTCAATACATCATTTAACCAGGGGCAATTCAGTCATTCCCACAACGCAAATCCACGGTATATCACAATTACCACATATATTATAAACAATTAAATATAATAAATACACTCCATCTGCTTCCATTCAGGAAAATTAGAATTAAATCAAATCCAAACAAAATTTTTTGAATTAAATATTAATTTCCCCAAAATTAAGCCTCTTCTCGAAATTAAAAAAAAAAAATTTAAAAAATAGGGGTGATGTTTTGGAGCTTTCCCAAGGTCTTCTTGCCTTTTAAAGTGACACCTAACGCAGAAACACTTTCACCCCCCTCTCCCGCCCCCACCACCCACCCACCACCACTCCCACCACCACCACCACCACCATTTTTTTTGTTCCTCTGTCTGACAGAATAGAAGAGAGGGAAAAAGGACCTGATTGATTAACTCTGCTAATTAACTTCATTATACAACACCTCAGATCCTTTTTTGTTTTTCTTCTAATTGAATCATAATTTCACTGCATTGCTGCTGGTGAGTACTCGACACTATTTTTTTTTTAATTTGCAGCACCTTGTGTGTGTGTGTTACTGTGTGTGCGCTTGTAGTTTGATTGATCTTCTCCTGCATTTGATTCGATTTGATTTTTTTTTTCTGGAGTAAGCGTTTGATTGAAGACTTTTTTTTCACCGGTGGTGCTTCGTTTTCCGTGTTCCGAAAGCAATTTTTTTATTATTATTATTTTTTATTTATTTTATATTAGGAATCTCTTTCTCTTCCCTGCTTCAGAAAACTTTGGTAGCTATATATATATATATATATATATATATATATATATATATATATATATTATTCCGTTCACTTCTCTGTTTTTTTAATTTAATTTGCTGTTTCTCTCCCACATTTTGTATTTCACTTTGCTTCTGGATTTTGTGTTTGGGCGGATCCCCCAAATTTGATTTCATTCAAGGATTTCCGGAGCTTTTATCCGGTTTCAGAGGTTTTGCATCATCTGTTTAATGTGTTGCAAAATGCTAATTGTCATTTATTTTTTATAATTTATTTCAGTAATTAGAACAGAGATTTTTGTTCTGAGTTGTCAATGTCAGTTCTAGCTTAATAATGAATCCAGATGTTTTATGAACTGATTAGTTCAATTCGGATGCAGATATTGTTCTGGTATATTGAATTTTTTTTTTAATTTTTGTTTAAAAATTCAGAAGTTAAACGGTTTGCGGAGTATTCGTAGTTATGTAATTGTTCGATAACACGGAATTTTAAACCTTTGAATTCCTTATTATGATAAAAAGCCTATTGTCGAATTATTGCTTGGATTTGTCAATTACTTAATTTAAACGAGATATTGTTTGGAGTGATGTGCTAGTTTAAACCAATTTGTTTTACAAAAAGACTTTTTCTGGTCGATCGATTTTATTTTTGTATATTAGTTGGGTTATGGGAATGTCATGCTTATGGTATATTTTGATTGTTTATGGTTAGCCTATCCTTTTCTTTATCCTCGTTGGCGTATTTTTAAATATCCATGGTAGTTGCACTTGCATGCCTTTAAAATAATCATCATCTTTGTAATGCAAAATCTGCATCGCAGATTTGACTCGAATTATCTCATGTTTGTATGTCTGAACATCCAGCTATGCACATGATACTTAATCTTATGATCTGGAATGTCTGTATTTAAGGTTTGACTTGAATATGTCATGTTTTTATATCTCATATTTGTATATTTTTTTAATCCAACAAATCTTTTTACAACCCAAAAAATAAAAAATAAAATGCTGTTTTTATATCAAAGATCGGAGATCGTTATCTTCTGTCATTTTTCTGCATCAATGGATTAATGGAAGCTTCTTTGCTGTTGAATTAATGTTACTTCTGTACGAAGTCTACTTTTAGTCGTGTTTTTCATAACTTGTTTTATATCAACAGCCTAAAATGGATAAGAGGAGTTGGCCTTGGAAGAAAAAATCGTCTGATAAGCAAGCAGCTGAGAAAGTAGCTGCCACACTATCAGATTCTTCTGCAGCTGCTTCAGACACGGGTGCAACTCCTCAAGCGGAAAAGGTTCGTTCGTATTATCATAATCGCCTCTCTTAATTTGATCATACGGCGTTCTCTCTTCTCTTACTCGCCGCTTTTCCCATTTATGCCCTTTGAGTATTGATTTGCTGTGTAATTCCTGTAGGTGAAGCAAGAAACTAACAAAAAGCCGAAGTATGTTCAAATTTCTATGGAATCGTACACGCATCTCACTGGATTGGAGGATCAAGTGAAGTCCTATGAAGACCAAGTGCAGTCATTGGAGGATGAAGTAAAAGAACTGAATGAAAAGTTATCGGAAGCCGATTCCGAAATGACCAACAAAGAAAATCTGGTCAAACAGCACGCCAAAGTTGCTGAAGAAGCTGTTTCAGGTTTCGACTAATTTAATACAGCGTTAATTTGTTCATTCGAATTGAAGATTATGGAACTTATTTGCCGGATTTTGTTTTTTTGCACAGGTTGGGAGAAGGCTGAGGCGGAAGCTGCAGCACTGAAAAATACTCTCGAATCCGTCACGCTGCTAAAGCTTACCGCCGAAGATCGGGCGGCACATTTGGATGGTGCTCTCAAGGAATGCATGAGGCAGATACGGAATTTGAAGGAAGAACACGAACATAAATTGCACGAAGTTGTCCTCAACAAAGCAAAGCTGTTCGATAAGATGAAGCTAGAATTTGAATCCAGAATAGATAAAATGGACCAAGAGCTAATGAGGTGTGCTTCCGACAATTCTGCACTGTCGAGATCTTTGCAGGACCGCTCCAACATGCTGATCCAGCTAAGCGAAGAGAAATCAGAAGCTATGGCTGAGATCGAGCGTTTGAAGAGCAACATCGACTCCTACGAAAAAGACGTGAATTCACTCAAATACGAGGTCCACATTGCTAGGAAGGAGTTAGAAATTCGCAACGAGGAGAAGAACATGAGCGTTCGCTCCGCTGACGTGGCAAACAAGCAGCATCTTGAAGGAGTGAAGAAAATCGCGAAGCTTGAAGCAGAGTGTCAAAGATTACGAGGCCTCGTTCGGAAGAAATTGCCGGGTCCCGCTGCACTAGCACAGATGAAACTTGAAGTCGAGAGCTTGGGCAGAGACTATGGAGATTCTCGTCTGAGGAGGTCTCCAGTGAAGCCTCCTACTTCTCCACACTTGTCTGAATTTTCGATTGACAATGCACATAAGTACCTTAAAGAGAACGAGTTGCTCACGGAACGCTTACTAGCAATGGAGGAAGAAACGAAGATGTTGAAGGAAGCCTTGGCAAAGCGTAACAGCGAACTGCAAGCTTCTAGAAGTTTCTCTGCCCAGACGGCAAGCAAGCTTCACAGTTTAGAAGCACAACTGCAAGCTAATGGTGAAATGGGAAGTCCTTTGAAATCTAGTACTCACGTCTCCGCCGAAGGTTTCTCTTGTAAGAAAGCTGCAAGTTTCACCTCTATGTCTGAAGATGGAAATGAAGACAGTGTAAGCTGTGCTGGTTCGTCGGGTACTGGATTGATGTCTGAGCACTCCCATTTCAAGAAGGAAAGGAACATCGACAGTCCACACAAGTCTGAAAACACGAATCGTTTGGACCTTATGGATGATTTTCTGGAGATGGAGAAGCTGGCATACCTGTCGAACGGAACAGTTTCGAGTAATGCAGAGTCTGAACTCGTAAAAGACGAAGTTTCAGTCGAAGTCACCGTCCACACAGACTCCCAATCAGATGACCAGTGTGTGACTTTAGCAAACCATCAACTGCAAGCAGACCCACTCGTCTTTGTGAAACTCCAATCGGAAATATCCAGAGTGCTCGAGTCGTTGTCTAATGAGAAAGACATGGAAAAAGTTACAGATGACATTAGATGTGTTATGGAGGATATGCGCGAAACTCTGCATCAACACTCGGCAAATGGGGTGGCCAACACTGTGGAAACCACCAATCAAAAATTAGAAACCGCCATTTCTCAGATTTACGACTTTATAACGATTCTTGGTAAAGAAGTTAGCTCTCTCCCAGCAGCAACTCCCGATGAAGATGGACTAAACCAAAACCTCAACATGTTCTCTGCCAAATATATCGAACCTTTACCCCGGGATATTAATCTAATCGATTATCTTCTCGACGTTTCTCACGTATTAACCAAAGCAAGTGAGCTGCACTTCAATGTCCTCGGATTTAAAAGTTCTGAAGTGGAAACTGGTAGTTCTGATTGCATTGACAAAATCGCACTACCAGAGAACAAGGCTGTTGTGGATTCATTAGGAGAGAGGTACCCCCCCATTGGTTGTGCACACTTCTCCGATTCTGCATCTGATCCTGATATTCCAAATGACGGGAATCTTGTCCCAATCTCTGAATCAACAGCAACTTCTTGGAAATGTTCGTTCGAGGAGTTTGAAGAATTGAAAATGGACAAGGATAACCTCGCAGTCGATCTTGCTAGATGCATGGAAAACTTTGAGAACACGAAGTCTCAGTTACTGGTAACAGAGCAGCTTCTCGCTGAGGTTAAGTCGGAATTAACATCAGCTCAGAAGTCAAACAGCTTGGCCGAAACACAGCTCAAGTGCATGGCGGAATCGTACAGGTCACTCGAGACGAGGGCCGAGGAATTGCAAACCGAAGTAAATCTTCTCAAAGGGAAAATCCAAAATTTGGACAGTGAGCTCCAGGAGGAGAGAAGAAGTCACCAAGAGGCAACCAACAGATGCAACGATCTTCAAGAGCAGCTTGAAAGGTAGGAAATGTTTCTCGGTTTCTGCGTATCCAAATTTCTTCGCTAGATTCAAATATATATATGCGGTTTTGTTGCTTGGGTACTAGATAATGTTATTAAAAACAAATATTTTATTTATCTCTTATCTGAGTATGCTCGTATTGATCTTACCATGACAGGATTGATAAAATTACAACAGCAGATATTGACGACAAACCTAGCCAGGTGAGTCTTATCTTATAGTATCTTGGTTATATTCGTCAGCAAATTTTTTTAACGGAATTTGCATGTCCACTCTGACGGCGATTGTGTTTTGAATCGAGTCCGATAACTTGCAACTCACGGTTTTAGAACTTCCAGCAGAAATTTGCTTCCGCGTTTTGGCAATTGAATTTATTTTATTTTAATCTTGAAATGATCGCATTGTTGATTTTTGTTCGCACGAATATCTAATACTTAAATTCCTTTATCAGGAGAAAGATTTGGCAGCTGCAGCCGAAAAGCTAGCCGAGTGTCAAGAAACCATATTTCTTCTCGGTAAGCAATTGAACTCTCTACGCCCCCACACAGACACCGCAAGCTCTCCAAATAGCACAAGGAGTCAAAAAATCGAAGCCTCGGCCGAACAAGAACCAACCATAAGCGGCACAAATTTACGAGACATTGATCCATCTGAAATGGACACGGTCACTTCTTTCCATTTGGATAGGGCCGGGTCGGAATCCCCGTTGGATCTCTTCACCGCCCCGTTTAGTCCGTCAGATTCGGATCCAAACAATTTGCTGAGATCGCCCGTCGGGTCAAAGTATCCGAATCACCACCGCCCGTCGAAATCGGGCTCCTCTTCTTCCTCTTCTTCTACACCCACACCGGAGAAACATGGTCGTGGATTCAGCAGATTCTTTTCCTCAAAAGGAAAAATTAACGAGTAACGAATATCGCCCTGCATTTCAACTATCATAATACGAGAAGATTACATATCTATCTAGCTGAAGCAAAATCGAAGTTTGTTTTTTTTCTCTCTCCCTGTAAATAAAGACGAAGAAACTTTTTATCAACTTTTGTCATACTTGTAATTTGGTGTTAGATTCGAGAGGGTTCTTTTCGAAAGTGGTGCATCGAACGGTCGATTTTCCCTTTTTCGATTCACATGGCAAAGAGATCGACTACCGATTGTTTTGATTCGAAACCTTTGTTTTGGATTAGGATGTTTCAGTTCAGAGGTTGTTTGTTAAGATGTTAATTTTATGTGCTACACAATGGGACCATGATCGTGTACCTATTTTCTTGGATTCATTTTTTGGTCTGTTGTAATTTGTTTTAAATTAAATTGATTTGTTTGTTAGTTTTCTCTTTAGTTTGTCTTAATTTTGTAGATATTCACATAACCATTAGATTAAGGTCACTGTAAAATCTAGTATACTCAAAATTCAATTGTGATCATGCGGCAATTACAATGCAAGAAATACAGAAGAATCTCGATAAATTAATAACCTTGCTTAAATAATAATTTCTTTTGGTCCCGACTCTGTGTAAATATACTAACTTATGAGTTCGATAATTTAACATTTCGCTACATTAATAGAATTTTACTAGTCGTGAATGTATTAATTTATAGAAGTTTAACTGTAGTGAATGAAAAAATAAAATTGAAATGACAAGAAAACAATTGTGTTATTTGGCTAATGAGCCACCAACGAGGTAAGAAATATTACGGGGGTTCGTGGGCATCCGTCCTATTTTATATATAATTTTTTTTTTCAACATAAGTAGCACGAAAACAAGTGAATACACATAAACATTAACTAAATTAGCATAAAACAAAATCTAAAAAGTTACGTTCCAATATATAATCATATAAAACATTTTGCAATCGATTGGAATATTTGGAAGTCGAAATCTTGTTTTCTTGGGATGGGTCTGGTTGTCAGTGGACAATTTCCGGCGACTTTCTTCAACAATTCTCGTCGTACATAGAGAACATTAATTCGGAGATAATTTTTCTCTCTAATTGCCATTCTAAATTGTACAAAGGAAAAATAAAATAAAAATAAAAATAAAAAATATCTATTCATCCGGGCCATGCCCATGTGAGAAATGGCCCACGTGGCCTTCGATTTCATGATTTTATCGACGAGGTAGAGGATGAATAATCACGTGAAGCTCATCCCCACCATTGTACAATGTGGACCACCAACCAGATTTCCTTCCCTCCATAACAGCTCCTTCTTTGCCATCATTTGTGGGTCTTTGTTTCTAGTTTTAACGGTTGTAATTCGACGGGCCTACGCCTCAAACGGAACAACCACTTGTACAGTACCGTACCACCTATATTATAATTATTGGGTGGTCTTTGATGTTGACTTTCTTGACTTTTTGCTTAACCCCATTTCTTTGATGTTGACTTTCTTGACTTTTTGCTTAACCCCATTTCCATAATGCATTACGGATTCTGTTGAAATAAATAAACTAATTTAGGCCCACATTACGGATTCTGTTGAAATAAATAAAATAAAATAAAATACTGGATTTTTATTCTTCAGTTGCATGGCATGAATAAATATATAAAAAAAAAAAAAATTAGGGTCTTCAAAGATAAATAAATAATATTTTACAAAATATTAATTTTACAATGAACGTATATATTAATTATGATAGGCCCAAAATCTTAGTCTTGTATAAAATAAATGATAAAATATATTTTATATAAAAAAAATATATATATACCTCCATTGAGGGAGGTTTATTTATTTTTTTAAAATACGAGTAGTAGTATATGTATAATTAAATCTAACCTCGCTATAAGAAAATATAGTTTATTCAGTGTTCGTTCGAATCAGGAGTGAAAATAAAATATTGACAAAGTCAACGGTCAAATGAGTTAAGTGTCAGCTAATATCAAAACGCTAAACTTCACCGAATAAATTTTCATCTTTAATTTGCTCATAGTCATACTATCTACTGGAATATACATATATAATTCAGTGAAATTCGTCTGAGTGTGACATAGAACAAACATTTATACGATATTTTTATATAATTACCGATTATTTCAAATGATGGATATTGAACAGGGTCCAAAAAACGACAAGATAGAAATAAAATAAAATTTCAGAAAATCCAGAACTCAAGATTAAATGAGGAACATATATATTGTTTCATCATTACCAAATTAAATAGATTTTGTCCTTGTGGGACAAAATTGACTTGGGACAGATCAACAATGCCTGCATCAATCAACAAGTAGACATATGCTATTTTGTGATACATATGATTTTTTTTTTATTCATGTAATAACTCAATTGAGAGATCAAGAAATTAAATATTAGTTGGAATTTTTGAAATCTGCGTTGGACAATAGCTTACAAAAAAAATCTAGGTGAAAAAATAAATATTCATTTTTTTTTTCTTTGTACATTTTCTTACAACTAGTTATATATATTGAAAATCCCAACATGCATGCCCTACAAACAAGCCCACACTCCCAGCATAAGTGGCTCCAGTTTGTCTGTAACCCCAATTTCATATTTTGCAATAGAGCTATTAATTAGGGGCTCTTCGATTTCACCGTCTGGACATCAAAACACCTTCATTGTTGTCGAGGAGTCTGGACATCAAAACATCTCCACCGTCGCTGCTGCACCACTGTCTGAACATCAAACACCTCCACCGCCCGAATTGAAACAATCATCCTCTCATAAACCGACAACTTTCTCCTCTACGGCCCCGACCAACACATCGCGCGCTGCAGCCAAAGCTTCTCCCATCCGTCTAAAATCCAATTTTTCTTACATCGATTTTAGTATTGTTATGTGACAGTTTACTTAATCGACTATAGTCGATTAACACTGCAACTGTTTTTATTTTATAGTCAATTTTATTATTATTAGGTATAATATACGATTTAATATTTTAATCAACTATAGTCAAATAAGAATTCAATTACACAAACAACATTATATATTAATTTAAACTCTTATCCTCTCAATTATATCAACTACTTAATTAAGAAAAACATGACTTAATTATTGAACAAAATGCCTTTCAAGATAAGTAACCAATAACATGCCACCGAAAAATAAAGTGAGTACTACTATAATAATTTTACCTTAGCTTAGGACACAACCTACTAAACTAATATTTTATCTAAAAAATGTCAAAACAAGAATAATTAAATTCTTTCACATAAGTCCAATAATTAATTAAAATAAATATTTTATTGACATTATTTGATCTAAGCCCACACTCCGTAAATTAAGCAACTAAAACAACTGTTTGTTCATGTGCTATAACAGCATAACCTACCTAACATGCAACATCATTGATATGCATTTGTTTTGTCTTTTGTTTTCCTTACAACAACTCTATTGTAAGTCACAAAATTGGGTTATCGACAATTTATTTGATATTTGAGATAATATTTTAACATCTGTTAAAAATAATCTATGCTAATTGTGGGTGTCAAATTAATTATTGATTAAAACTTTATGTTTTTTCACTAATGGTTCCTTCTTGATTGGTTTGGAATAATTGAATTTGGACTAATTTCCTACCGACTAAATAATTGTTTAGTTGATGATATATTTGGTTTCTTAAATTAAATATTTTATTAAATTTGCTAAATAAATAAGATAGTAACATTTAATTGGAGACATGATCTTATTTTGTTACCACAATTAATAATAGGGTGGAACACAAAAACATTGAAAAGACATAAAGAACAAACCCAATTATTTTTCCAATCAAAACGAAACCCTATAAATCAAGATAACTAGCAAACCTATTTTGATTATGAATTAATGTGATTGAAATAGATTTAATGTATCTATGTGACATGTTGCAGATTTATTTATTACTTTTATATAAAATCCTACATTTAAAATGAAATTAAAATTGCTACTAACTAATACTTGCGTGACCACCCACACATGTCTTCTTCATAAATTAAAAAAAAAAAAAAACAGTAATTAGGAAAATAATTACATATACAAACAAGATAAGCATAGTAGAAGATTTGGAACATTACTTCAGGGGAATAAAATAGTTTTTATCAATAATTTTTTTGCCAATTTTTTTGTTTATAAATAGATGGTTGATAATAACACCACCGATCCATTGATTAATTACCCTGGTCGGGCCGGTAATGATTTTTAATATTCAGCAAAATCGGGTGATCAAGTCAGATAGATAATTGGCTGATAATCGACCTCATCCATGCACAACCCTAATTTTTACTATTGATTTAAACAAAAGTCAAATATATATTGATATAAATGTATATAAAAGATGTATGAATTTATACACGTGTACAGTAAAATATATTTCGATATACTTCGATAGAGTACATCATAGAATAAATCGGAGAAGTACTAACAGTACAATTATAGGAATATAATGTTTGTACACGGACAATGTAAGAGGTATAAACTAACATATCATGGTTCGAATCAGATAATCTTGAAATTAAATAACAAAATAATTCTTTTTGAAGTATCAACATGTGTGAATGTATGATTATGAACAATAGGAATTTAATTTAAATATATTATCTTCTACGAGTAGATTACTTATCTTCATATTTTATAGTTTCAGGTGAGAATATAATCAACTACCTCACGTCCTCACCTATTTATAAAATAAATTAAATTAAAAATAAATAAATAATTGCGTATTATAAGCCGTTATTTGGAGTTTATTAAATATTTGTCACTTTAAAATATATCTATACATTATTTGGATAATATTAAATAACATATTTTATTAAATATTAAATAATGTTTTTTTTTTCTTTTTATAATAGTGGTGGATTAAAAAATATATTTTAAAATTAAAAGAAATGTAATTTGAATCGGCGAAATAGGTTTGTAATTTTGGCTGTGAAATTGGGTTTTGGAGGATGACATTGAATAAAATTAGAAATAGAGGGATGAATTTGATTTTGATGTTAAACCTCAGGAATGAAAATGAAATTTATCCTAGAAAATAAAAGTATTTTTTAAACAAATGAACATGAAATTCCATCCAATAATTACGATGTTAAATATTAGGGTAAATTACAAACACCCCCTGAGGTATGGTCAAATTACAAAAACACCCCTCTTGTTTGGATAATTACAACCACCCCCCTCAACTCATCAAATTTAGTGGAATCTTCGAGATTATATTGAATATTATCACTTTTGTACCCGTTTTATCCCATTCAAACTCTACATTATGAAGCAAGATGATCATAATATATGATTTTTAGCTTGTATATATCAGTTTGTGGTGCATCGGAAACTGTATTTTTTACACAAAAAGAGTACAAATGATCTTAATC